AGGAAAAGCCATCAGCAAGTACAACAGGCCAGCCATGATAAGTGCTTACGGAATACTGCATAAGCTGATATTTCTTCAGTGATGTCAGAAGAAGAGAGAAACAGCTTTAAGCTGAGATACTGCAGCTCACATGTGGGTAACAGGGCACTGGTCAGAGGTGGAAATACATTTACACTACCAGTACTAGATCTGTTGCCTCGGACCATTTTGAGACAGCAGAGTCCTGTGCTGAATGCATGGTGCCGAGTACCCTCTCTGCCACAGGCTCTTCTCTTGCATTTGAAGTTGTTCCTCCTAGAACTTCTGTCTCTCTTTAGCAATATTACACTCTTCATCCCAGACCATGGAATAGGTACAAGCCAAAGAAGTAACAAGCTCTCTGCAGAAAAGAAGGCAGCCCACAAAACTAGCTTTTCTCCCTTCATGTACAATCCAAGTTGTCCTATACAATCCCAGTTCACTAGCACGTCTTTCTGCAAAGCAACACCCCAAAAACTTGACACTGGAACAGGTTGCCCAGAGAAGCTGTGGATGCCCCATCCCTGGAGATGTTCAAGGCCAGGCTGGATGAGGCTTTGAGCAACCTGGTCTAACAGAGGGTGTCCCTGTCCATGGCAGGGGGGTTGGAACTTGATGATCTTTAAGGTCCTTTCCAACCCAAACCATTCTGTGATTCTATGAAAAAGGGCTGCCTCTTGTATCTCTTCTAACTTGCAGGTTTTTAACTTTGATCTCATGGTCAAGTGTTTGTTACTTTTTATTACTAATATTTAACTCACATGTTTAGAAGGTTTGTAAAAAAACCCCACGCTTTTTCAAATGCTTCTTTTCATGTTTGATTATTTCTTTGCATGGTTTGACTATTGAAGTTGTTAACTTTAAAGGTGCACATATTCTTTTGTTGTGGAGCTCTTCTGCCATTCTGTGTACATCCCTCCCCACATCATGAGGTACAAATTTGGGCCTCTTACCCCTGCTACCTACACAAGTCCCATAGAGGAGTGAGACCTGCTGCTCAGTTTCCAGCACTCCCAGTACTTTTTATTTCCTTCTTCTGTAAATCACTGCAATTGTGACTTTTTTACAGGAGCGTGGAGGTTTTGCATGTTCTCGGTTGCCTCTGCCAGTGCCGCTGTGATGCTCAACTGCTGCTTTCAGTTACTTACTGCACACTGTAATGAGCAACAGCTCGTATCCGTCTTCACGACTAGCCAAGGTGCTCAACTATGCCAGGTATGTTTGACTTAGGAAAGTCTTCAACAGGTCAAGAATGATTGAAGCAGTTCCAGAGCAGGAACTGGAGCGGAGCCCGCAGGAGCCTGACCAGCAGCTGGCTGGTCCTGATAATTCTTTAAGCCCAGTCATTATCTACACTTACAGAGGTGGAAAAGCTGTGGGGTTCGAGGATTTCAGATATCTTTGTCCCTAGGAAGCAAGTGAAACCCTGAAACATTTTTCAACTTACACCACATCCCTTGCCTTCTACAGATGAAAGTGCAAAGAAAGGCAGAAGTCCAGGAATACAACGCAGGCTTCCCCTTCCTCTCGCCTAGACCAGCCTAGTCGGAAGGAAATGTCTACTGCTTATCTCTACTTCAGAAAACAGACACAGCCCATGGTGGAAAAACACGGGCAAAGGCCAACAAGAACCCCAGGGGCACAAACAGAGGCTTTGCATCAAACCTGCTCCACATTCGTGGCTTATGACTTGGAAAGCCTTGAGTTTTTTGAAGCCATGCTTTTATGCCATGTGAGAATCTGGCTCAGGATTGCCATTCATCATACTCTCTCAGCAGTAAGTAATGCCAGCTTGCAAAAATCACATGCCTAAAAGTGGTGTGGTGGGAGGGCACGTTCACAGCGTGCTCAGACTCTCCTTTGTGCAACTTCTTCTTTCTGAACCACCAGGCACTTGATAACGTTCCTAAGCTTTCCACTTTTCATTTTTTAAAGGAAAATTGTAATTCTCGAAAGAGGAACTGCACCAGGAGATAGGGCTTCAAGAAAAAAAAAAAAAAAAAAAAACAAACCCACAAGAACAAAAAAGCCCTCAAAAGCCCACGTTTATTGTCAAAGTCTCCAAAATGATGAGATTTGACAATAAGGCTTTTGTTCTTACGAACACATGCAACCGGGCAACATGCAGCTTGATTTCTGCAGCCAGTAGAGATTCAAAATACTTTCCACATACAATAGGTGTCAATTTGACTTTATTTAAGGAAAAATGGGGAAAAAACAGTAATTTCCATAATACACAGAAGACAAGTTAGATAGCACTGCAAAAAAAAGGCTGAGTGTTTTACTTGTCACCAGTCTGCTTTGCAGCTCTACGATTAGTAATTTTAATGCAGTTTGTCATTTTGTATTATTGTTTAGCGTCTTTATAATCAGCAGAGTTTGGGGTTATAAATCACAAAAAGTGTACTACTACTATGAAAAACTAAAAAACCCACAAAAATCACTTTCAAATAAACCATAAATATGTGATACACATTAGTGTAACAAAACCATTTTTGTAAACATTTTCTCCAACATAACATGTGCATAAGATAAAAAATAAAAACACTGCAGTCATACAAGTTAGGGTTACTTTGACTTAAAGATACAGAAAATTATTACTTATTAAAGCTTAAAACTAAACCTAGGAGCTTTTATTTTCTTTGCTTACAAAAGCACTGTTTGAAGAGTTCCATGTTGATATACGTAGTGGTTTTGTAATACTGTTTTTACCTTGCTGTGTTAGCACTTCTGTGGAGGCAGAGGCAACCAGGAGGGCAGCCCCACCAAAGGAAGGAGATTTCCTCCCCCACCTGGAGCCTCAAAACTTCAACAGCATGTATCCGTAACCTGGGCATCCCTACAGTACTGGAGCATCTTCCTCTAGGTGAAGAGCATCAGCTTTCAAGGACTAGATTAACTTTTTGACCGCATAGCGCTAGAAGATTTAAATCACACAGACTGACATTTGATCAAATCAGGTTCAGCAAATTACACTACAGGGCAGCTGTGTGATTACACCCACGTCTACCATCACGTCGTGTTTCCGAGTCCCCTTTAGTTCATTATAGTACAAAAAGGTTGGTTGTTCTTCTGGCTGACCACACTGGGCCTGAAAAGAACACATCCTTCACCTTCAATGCTATCCAAAAGTCATACAATTAAAAAAAAAATAGTTCTAGGTATTCCTCCACCAGCAAATGTAAGGCTTTCTTGAGTTTTGATTCTTTTGGGGTGTGTGGGGGGGGGTGTGTGTGCACACGCGTGCGCTGGCGGTATGCATTTACCGTTCGCTTTTCAACCGTCTACGATGTTCAAAGGAGTCTTCAGCAGCAACGCTGATTGGGGTTGAAGGATTTACAGCAGTCAGATTTGACACCAAAAGAAGGGTCTGTAGAGTCTGAGCTTTGCACACTCGGCGCTTTTGGCTCTTAATTGATTGCGTGACCAGTCGCTTGAGCCATCGGCTTGACTGAATCGAAGAAAACGAGTTTAAAAAGCCCTACCTGTCATGCCATGAAGGAAAGTTAATCGCAGCAGAAGACAAAGCCCATGAAACACTGAGAGCCTGTTCACTGAATGAACAGCTTAAGGCAGCTGTCAACAAAGTACCCCACCAAAGGAATTAAAAAAAAAAAGTGAAAACAAAAAGGAAAATGGCTGAATCATGACACTGTGCATTATTACAACACCAAAAGATTATTATACACTCAAGGTTTCTCAAGTAATGAACATGTAGTCATTAAACAAATTATTACTCTCGAGACATTTATTACAAATGTCAGAACTTATTCATAAAATAAAACTGACTTAAAAAAAAAAAAAAAGAAAAAAAGCCAGAGCTGGGATCTTACATCTAAACACAGGTATACGCTGTTTTCATGAATAAGCAGTATTAACTACATTCTTAAAAGAGTTTTAGTGCATTGCATTCTTAAAAAAGAAAAATATCACCGCCCCAAAATGGTTCCTACAACATTGAACAGTTTATAGAACTAGCCTAGTTATTTTTACCTGCCTGTTACTAAGCCCACGTGTTACAAGAGTGAAACCTCTGGTCTTAGGCTAAATTCAGACTTCTATTAAGGATGAATCTGACTTTTAAAAATGCTTGCTTTACCAAATTTTGTAAGCAAATTACATTAATCAGTGTCTCACTGCCATACCACTACCACTATTGCCCCAGCGGACCACCTTCTCCT